GCGGGGCTGGGATGTCAAGTGCATCCGGGTCTCCCTTAGGGGCAAGCAGCATGGCAGCGAGATGAGGTACAGTAGCCGCAAGGAACTCCAGCTCAAAGTGCCTGTCCTCAAGGATGTCACAACCAAGGGCAAGCTCACCCCCAACGGACGAAGGACAACCAGAGTCAGAAACTAGGCTCGCGAGGTAGTCAAGGCGGCACGTAGCAGCAAAGCCAACGAGCTCAGCGACTAAGGCAGATTAAGCAGCAAACCAAAAAGGTAGGGTCCGTCACAAGGGTGGCAAGACAACGATTGACAGTCGGACTGGCAGCACGAGCACGGTCAGACACAGGGTCAGGAATGTCAGGAAGAGATGACGGGGGAGGTGACTGCAGAACAACAGACTGTGAAACAGAGGAAGGATGAAATGTCATGATATGAGTACTAGGAGCAGGAGGAGGGTGTACACGGCGAGTACAATGAATACGAGCAACAGGTGAGGTAGGACGAGACGCAAGCTCTCTACACTCAGTCAGGGAGTCTGTCAACGGAGAGAAATGAGGAGGAATAGGCAGAGGAGAGCCATGCGGTCACTATGCCTGAGACAGGTCAGGTGGCGGAAACAGCAGATGAGGAGTAGTACCAGTGGTAGATGGCTCTGCAGAGGCAGGCGGAAGACTGAGAAGCTGGTGACGTGCCGAGCCAGGTGGGGCAGCAACGACTGCGGCCGCTCCCAGAACAACGGTCGTCTGTGTAGCAGCTGCGCTGCACCCCCAGAACTAGCTCCTCTACTATAAGCACCAAGAACACCTCCAGCTCCAGCACGACCAACACCCTCAGTGGCAGCACCTGCAGCACCAGTACCTCCAGCTCTGACCTCCAGCTCCAGCACCTCCAGCACCAAAAACTCCAGCACCTCCAGCTCTAATACCTCCAGCACCAGAACCTCCAGCACCTCCAGCTCCAGTACCTCCAGCACCCATAGAACCTCGAGCAGTAGTACATTTGACTCCACCACCACTAGGACGCTCATCACCCCCTAAGACAGCACCCTCAGGGTCAACACCCCTCTGAACCAGCACCTCCAGAGTCAGCACCCCCAGAAATAGCACCCCCAGAGCCCGCACCTCTAGATTCACCACCCCCAAGACCAGCACCCCCAGAGCCCGCACCTCCAGAGTCACCACCCCCAACAGCACCGGGGTCCACAGCAACAAGCTGTAGAGTAGGTAGAGACGGTCGAGGCGGAAAACAAGGAGGGGTCTCCAAGCGCGGTGGGCAGCGATAGGCCGCTGTGTCGTCAGCAGAAGGGTCACCTCGCTCGCTAGGCCAGGGAAGTCTAAGGAGATCTCCAAATTCTCGACCAAGGAGAATGGGGAACCTGAGACACACCTAAGGGAGCAGGACGCGGGAGGGGGGGGGGGGGGGGAGGGGGTCTACCAGGGGGTAACCTGGAACCAGGAAGAGGGGGGCACAGGAGAACTGCAGTGGGTTAGAAACGATAGTAAGAAACCGACTCGTCAAAGGTGACGTTGCGGGAGGACTGGACGCGACGCGTGGCTGGGTGGTAAAGCTGCCGGTCAAGTGCGTCGATAAGAAAGCCAAGGAAGATGTTGTGAGTAGTGCAAGGAGAGAGCTTGCCCGCGGTAGGATTGCGGACAAGGGCAAGCGAATCCCAGACCCAAAATGCCGACGCATCGCCAACCTCCCCCGTCCAAAGCAGGGTAGGCAATGTCTCTGGCTAGGAGTCACGGGGCCAGAGGTTGAGCTGATGCGCGGCGTATCGGACCGCAAACGGCCACAGAAAATGAAGAGCAGCCCCATGGACCATGGAGGTGCGAGCAACCTCCATGATCAAGCCAATGCGGTGCTGACAGATCCCATTCTGATGTGGAGATGAAGGGAGCGTGAACGACGGGGTGATGCCCTCCCCACGATAAAAGTCTTCAAGGAGAACGGAGGCAAACTCGCCACCACGGTCAGAGTGCGGACGGAGCACCAGGAGGTCCTGCCGGAATCGTGCGCTCAGCTGGCGACAAACAGCGCGGATCTAAGGGATCAAAACAACACGGACGTCCCTCTTATGCTCTAAGGGAAACACCGTGGTGTAGCGCGTGAAGTCGTCACGGATTGCTTTGCTAGGATTACCATGGAAGGCAGCTACAACGCAGGCACTGGTCTCGGCCTCGAGGAGACGAATCTCAAACGAGGCAAGGGTGAGCACGGTGGGGTCTAGGGAAAGAAAGTGGTCTCGAACGGCGCGAAGAGAGTCGAGGAGGCGAGTCGTGAGGAAGTAGGGAGTGAGATACATGGGGGGCTGGTTTTCAGCCCGAAACTTTGACTTGAGAGAAGTACGGTAGCGCTTGTCAAGAGAGCGCAGGTGAGTCATGAGGTTGGCTACAGTGGTGAGGTCAGACAGCCCAGGGAAGAGAAACGGTAGCACAAGACGGCCTAGGGTGGCAGAACAAGGGGAGAGTAGCTCTTAACTGGCCTACATCGTCATAGAGCTCTTTGGCCGACTTCACCTGGCAAAAGTGGGTCCTTTGGTCGGGCGGGAGGTGAGTGCCAACTGCAAGCTGGGCAGTGGCGTCACGTGCCAACCACTGTGTGAAGGCAACGCGGTCAGTCCTATACCGCTGCTGCACGTCTGCTTGCGCAGTAGGGAAAGGTGCATCAGGAGTGGGCGGGGCCTTAAGGGACCCCGACGTGTGCTCAAACAGTGAGATATTGTCTTTGGTGACACTATGCAGGTACAGGTGCAACAAACGACAGGACAGTAACGGCCGCCATGGCAGCAACTAGGTCTGGCTGCAGCACTAAAAACGAGGCGGCACAGTGCGGCGCGACAGGAAACAGCGCGGCTCAGTAGCAGAGAGTAACTGACGGCAAGAAGCCAGGCGTAGGGGGCAGCTAGCGAGCAGCGTGCGGGCTGTAGTGGGTGGTGCGCGGGTGGCAGTGGGCGGCACGCAGGCGGCAATGAGCAACAAGCGGGCTGCAGTGGGTGGTGCACGCACAGCAGTGGGCGATGCATGGGCGGTAATGGGCAGCGCGCGGGCGGCAATGGGCTGCGCGCGGGCTGCACGCGGGCAGCAGCAGCGCGCGGCACGGCAGCGGCAGCAGCATGGCAGCGGCAATGGCAGCTGCGCGACAACGCCAGCAGCGTGCGCGGGCGGCAGTGACGCGCAAGGGCAGCGGCGCCGGTAGCAGCGCACGTGGGCGACAGGGCAGCAGCGCTGTCTGCAGCAGCGGAGCACGCGGGCGGCAGCGTCGTGCGCGCGACAGCGGCGCGCAATACTGCAGCGGCAGCGGCGCGACAGTGGCGCAGCTGCGGCAGCAGCGTGGAAGCGGTGCGGACAGCAGCAGCGCGGCAGCAGCAGTGGCAGTTGCGCGACGGCGCCAGCGGTGCGCACGGGCAGAGGCGTGCGCTAGTGACAGCGGCGCGCGAGGTGGGCAGCGGCTCGCTAGAGGCAGTGGCACGTGCGGGCAGCAGTGGCGCGCTGGCGGCAGCACGTCGCACACATCAGCAACGGCAGTGGGTAGCACGGGCAGTAGGCACGGACCTAACCTAACGATAGATACCATGCTAAAAACTCAAAGAGCGGAATCATCAACTAAGGCAAGAGGGAAGTACAAATACAAACCCTTAAAAAAATGTACTCCCTACAGCTGACCTCACTATAGCCTAGAACATATAGATTGCTATAATTTGACAATGATGAGGCATACAAAGGGGGTTTATCCAACATCATATACCCTCTATGGTACAACCCAACCTAGCATACAAACTACACATGTGAACCTAGTATATGTGTGCGTTGACACTGTGATACGCGACGCACATTTGCGCATATGTTCACCTGCAACTGCAATGTTAGCAAGCCGCCTTGGTGCAGCGCTTACAAGTTGTTTTCCTGCTCCATTGGCAAGGCGCTTTGCAAAATTTTGCTAAATGTGTTGCAATGCTTAGTGAAACGCTTGTCCGATGTATGTTTATTCAATCGACTTTTTTTAGTGAGACTCTTGCCAATTTCACCTACGAGCACAAGAAGTAATGCGAGCATATGCAATGCTACGATCACCCCGTACAGCTCGTGTCCTCCCGCATAGTCTACCTCCCATTGTATAGTGACTCTCCGTGACCCTTTCAATATTTCAACTCTAATCCCAACAAGCCCCTGCAACCGAACGTCTGAGGCAAGGCTCAGATACGCTTTGGGGCACGCTGATCACTCGGTCTTGCCTTGAAGGTCAAATGCTGATTTTCAATGTCATCATGTTGAAAACACTGATTCTTCAGTGTTGAACCATAAGAATACTTAACAATCTGTGTTGTTACACGTTGCTACTGTATTCTGATTATTTATTCGTGTCAAGGGACTTTGCTTAGCAAGGATTTCGATCAGTCAATACACTTCAATCATCACCAATTATGGCTCACTCATTGTCACAAGGGCTATTACTACAAGCAGCAATGTAGCATTGCTCCGTTGAATTGACTGCCGATGTTGAAAGTTACGGTGCCAATTAGGGCAAAAATGAAACAATCATGGAACTTTCCGGTAATCAGTCATGCTTTCCGTTGATTCATCAGTGCACACAGAATCCACAACTCTAGGAAGTTATCACTGCAAAACAAAAAAACATTGAACAGTCACTAAATTTTTTAACACTGTTAGGGTCAGTACACAAAACCACCCTGAAAATCCTGAGTTCTCCGGGCCTGGCCCGAGGGCATACGGCATGATGGTGCTTGATTTGTTAAGCAAGTCTCAATGATAACTCTTTGATAGGCTCTGTGAAGTCGGAATTAATACACTGAGTGGTGAGGGTGCCATAAAACCAATCTGAGGGCCTGCTCCTTGACGATTGAGACGGTACGGTCATCAGGTATGCCCCGTGCCCTCCATGTAAATTGCAAATTAGTATGCGGTAGATAATGGATAAAACAAACAATAAATAAACAGATACCATATACAGGCGAACAGGGACGGTGATGCAGATACAGTCACTCATTATTGGAGTTACCAACCATTCAGTGTTGAGAGCACCTGCAGCAGCAGTCTCTCATTGAGTGGCTTCTGCACGGCACCATCCATGCCAGCCTCTGTGGCACAGGCGACAACAGTGCTGTCCACATCTGCTGACATGGCCACCACATGAACGCGCTGCCACTGCTGCCAGCCCCCCTCCCTACCCTCTGCCCCGCTCTCCCGCACTGCTGGCATTGGCTGCACGTCTTGGGTCCCCTGGCCCCCCGGAACGGCCTGTCCCCCCTGCTCCCCCTGTGCCCCCTGCCCCCCATGCATTTCCAAGTGGGCGGTGTGGGCTTGGCCTTCAAAGGCGCGCAGGCGGGCGGTGGTCTGAAAGCCGTCGAGGGCCGGCATGTGGAGGTCCATGAGCACGAGGCGGAAGGAGTGGCGCACCTGCAGCAGGCGCAGCGCCGCCTCGCCCGACTCTGCCAGCGCCACCTCCGCCCCGTACCGCGCCAGCGTGCTCGCCGCCACCCGCCGGTTGATCAAATTGTCGTCCACCACCTGCGCGTGCATAGGGGTACAGGGGGGTGGAGAGGGGTGAGACAATGGGACAGTTGATGGCATTGTAGTCCACCACCTGGGTGATAAGAGAAAGGGGCATGCAGGCAGGGTGCAGCGGGATGAAAATGGAGGGATGTGTTGACTAAGTTGTCGTCCACCACCCGTGCGTGCGGGGAGTGACCAAGGGGGGTGGGGGGGGCATGAGAACCGAGGCTCAGAGATGGCGTTATTGTCCACCACGTGGTGGATAAGAGGAAGAGAGTTGGAGAGGGCGAGGTTGAGTGACACCACCACAGGAGGGCCACATGGTCCCATAGTTGTCCACCATCTGCGCAGCACCGGGAGAACGAGGGGCATACAGGGGGGTGGAGAGGGGATGAGAGGGATGGAGATGGCATGCGCTGGTTGGGTGTTGGTTTTGTAGGTTATTGTCATACAGGGGGGTGGAGAGGGGATGAGAGGGATGGAGATGGTATGCGCTGGTCGCGTAGGTTATTTGTAGGTTGGGTGTTGGTTTTGTCATCCCAACCTTATCTGGTTGGGGTTCCCCAGAAATCCAACCAATCATCATTGGCCAAACCCAACTCTGTTTGTACTTAGGCCTAGCGCCTTCTTTCTTAATCAATCGATTCAAGCTCCAGTATGAACAAAGACCACAAATTTTTGCCTTCAACCATGTGAGGGAGGAACAGGAAAGAATGTGGAAAATCACATTGCAGTCCACCTACAGGACAAGGAGAGGGCCGGGATGGGGTGCGGGAGTGTGGTGAGGTAAGGTGAGGAGGGGGCGGGGAGGATGATGGGGAGAGTGGTGAGTAGTGACAAACAGGAGTAAACGGAAGCGCTTTGAGGCTAGTCTGCAAGATGGAGAATTGGCGTTCTGCAGCAACCCCCACAAACACACGAGATTCTTCTATGTCTAGATTAGGTTGCAATGCATCTCACCAGAATCGCCTTGCCCTGCAGCAGCTCCTTCAGACTATCCCTCGCACTCTTCGTCTCCACTGCCCTTGGAACAGCTGTGTCATCGGCAGCAGCAGCAGAGGAAGAAGCAGCAGAGGAAGAAGCAGCACTTGTAGTCGCCGGCCCAGAAACATTCATGTGGGCTGAAGTAGAGTTGCCACACACAGCGTCAGCAGCAGTGGCGGCAGCAACAAGCATGGGCAGGGCGACGTGCAGCGTGGTGCCGTGACCCTCTGTGCTCAGCAACCCAATGCTACCGCCCATGAGCGATACCTGCCACGGGGAGGAGGGGAGGGGAGGAGGTGTGGAAATGGAGTGACATGAGGACGAGTGTAAATGACACTGCTCCACGAGTTAATATTTGCAGAGCATGCATGGCAGGAGGACGAGGAGTTTTGAAGGTCTGGGTAATTACCTGGTTGAACTGTCAATAGGACATGGCAACTGTCAGTGAGACATGGCAACTGTCAATAAGACGTGACAACTGTCAATAAGACGTGACAACTCTCAATAAGACATGGCAACAATAAGACATGGCAACTGTAAGAAATGACAACTGTCAAGAAGAACTGGCAGCTGTCAATAAGGTAAGACCTGGCAACTGTCAATAAGGCATGACAACTGTCAACAAGACATGGTAACCATAAAAAACGACTCACCAGCTGCCGGCACAAGTGCAGGCTCATGCCACTGCCTCCATGCACGCGGGTCTGATGGGTTGGGTGCAGTGAGGAGCAGAAGGAACGGGAGTCAGTGTGTTGGGATACTAGCACGCAAATGGATGGCAATTGTATTAAGTCGATGACTGTGTGCCTCTTCAATACGTCTGCTTAAAAAGGAGTGCGTTTTGTTTTGAACTTTTTGTACTTGTACTTTTTATGTCCTCCTTTGGTGTAGTTGTCGTTTGTTTGAGTTGTGTTGTACGCCAACAATCCAACCTTACCCAAACGAGATCAACCAAAATCTCCAACCCACCAATTGAAGTTTTCAGCCAATCTTAGTGGGAATTTCCTCTGAACCCAACCTTCTCTTGCTCATCTCAGAGGGCTAAAGAGCTTTGGGCTGATTATTTAACGTATTGATGCTAGCTCTATTTCGTATATGGTATCAAAGCGACTCGACTGCAAACGCGGATCACGATTGTCTTGTCATTACGGAAACCATATCGCGCCCTTTAGTGGAGGTTCTCGTCTTCCGTCCCATTGCGCCCATTTCTCCAGCGCCGCATGTCACATTTCGCGCTATCTGCACGCCACCAAGTCGCATGTCCTCACACTTGGAGTCTTTCTTCTCCTCGATTGGAAGGTTACAACGACTCTTCTTGGGCTGATGGCCAGATCGACCGATGCTCCTCTCAGGTCTACTGCTTCATCCTTGGTAATGGAGTTGTTGGTTGGCGCTACCAGGTCTTCTGCACCTCGCTCTCCTACTGTGAGTCCGAGCTGTATGCCGGGACCATGGCAGCCCAAGAGGCTCGTTGGCAATTCTTCCTTCCCCAGGCACTTGGTTACCCGCAGTCCACACCCAACCTCTGGTGTGACAACCGGAGTACCATCCACGTTAGGATCCAAGTTCATATTGGGAGTAGCGGCAAACCTTAAAGAAATCGCTTAAGCAAAAAGGATCGAGACTTGTTAATCTCGTTCCTAGAAATTCAAGATCTCAAAGCCTCCAAACTCGAAAAACCCTTATTCGCAAACTAGTTTCGGCCAACGGGACAGAACCCCGCTAAGCCTTCATCAGTGCTGCTTACAGGTTCACAAGAAAGAGAAGCCTCGGACAGCAGCTAGCTAAGTATCTGCTACTGCCCTCGAGATCTGCTAATTGTACACCAACTACCCAGATTGCAATTCATACGCAATCGCCAACTAAGCAGGGGGGGTAAACCCAATGTGCTATGCCAGCCTTCGCGAAAAGTCTTCAAATAACTTGATCGGTTCGGTAACCGCGCACGCACCAGTAACCTTTGTAGGTTACGAGAACACTTCCAAGCAGTTTAAATTCTCTCCACATAAAATCCGCGTGAACTGAGACGACTTTTGAGGCGCCTCAAAAGGCACTTGGTTACCCGCAGTCCACACCCAACCTCTGGTGTGACAACCGGAGTACCATCCACCTTTCGTAAGATCCCGTATTCCACACCCGCACCAACACATCGAACTTCGCCACTTTACATTCGTGCCTTGTTCAGCGTGATCAGCTGAAGGTGCAGTACACCGCTTATGAGTGCAACCTTGCCAATTTGTTCATCAAGTTCCTTGGCCGGGTTGCTCACTATCGTCTTCTCAGCTCCAAGGGGTTTTGTGCCCCATCTCCTTTGCCTTGAGTTCAATTGACGTGTTTGAGGGGTGTTAAGAGTTAGCCCTCGATCTCAACATTTGTACTTTTTGTATCTTGATTTAGTGTACTTGTGGTTTGTTTGGGTTGGGTTATACACCAACATCCCGACTTTACCCAAAAGTTATGAATTGAAATCTTCAACCCACCATTTGGCATTTTCGTCCGTCTCATTGGGGATTGCCCATGATTCCCAAACCATCCTTCGCTTGCTAATTTCGTGTGAGGTTAATAACCTCTACTTCTTACAAGTACTCCACCGAATTCTCAATTCGAGCGCATGGCTTGACTGCATCAGGTGCATGGCATGATGTGGGTTGCATGAGGGGCAGGGCTCACCTGCATGAGGGGCAGGGCTCACCTGCATGAGGGGCAGGGCTCACCTGCATGAGGGGCAGGGCTCACCTGCATGAGGGGCAGGGCTCACCTGCATGAGGGGCAGGGCTCACCTGCATGAACGCCTGAAACACGTCGCGCTGCTCCTCCTCTACGATGCCACACCCCGTGTCCTCACACGTCAGCAGCACCACACAGCACCTGCCACCTCCCCCCCCCGCTTCCATGCCCTCCTCTCTGCCCCACCCACGCCACCACCTCCCCACTGCTCCCCTCCACCAGCCCACACCACCACCCTCTGGTGCTCTCCTCCCTGCTTCACTTGCAAAATCCTCCCCACACGCTCTTGTTCCGTGCCCACCACCAGCACATGGCCCCTCTCCCCTGCACCCAATAATGCAGCACCGCCCCTGCCTTCACTCAGCTCACTGCACACCCTCTTGCCTCTGCTTCCGCCTCCTACCACCATCGTCAAACGCTCTCCACCGTTCTCGACCCCGCGCTGGAGAGGGATCACGGGTGCCCCTCTAACTCCCCACCCCACATCACCCGCTTCTGCTCCTCCATCTTCACCACCCGACACCGCCCTCTCGCCTCACCCATCTTCCCTGCTCTCCTGATTCGCATTACTCTGTTCCCGAACACTTCCCCTCTCCTCCCCCTCCTCTCTCTCCTTCCCCTCCTCCTTCTCCTCCCTCTCCTCCCCGTCCTCCCTCTCCTCGCTCTTCCCCCTCTCCTCGCTCTCCTCCTGCCCCGGCTCCCCCTCATCAACGGGGGGCATGCGCCAGTAGCACCCAAGGCACTGCGCAGACAAGCTCCTCTGGAGCACCCATTTATTGCATGCACCTGTCACTGCCCTTGCACCTGTCACCGCCCTTGCCAGCCCTCGCTGCTCCACCTGCTCCCAGAACGCCATCCTAAGCGGCGGCTCTCCCACTCCATTCCCATGCACAGCAGCACTGGCAGCACTAGCAGTGGTAGCAGCAGTAGGCGCAGCAGCAGTGGCAGCATTGGCAGGCGAGGAGCAGGCAGGGGTGGGTGTCAAACATTGCATGTTTATATTGTCTAGGCTGTAGTGGGTTACACCTTAGGGGGTACACAAAGTTAGGGTTTCCTACTTGTACCAAACTCTGTTCTAGTTCATTCATTCCTGCTCAGTTATTCTGACATGGTATCAGAGTCAGCAGCCTTCCCCGACGCTTCAGGCCGCCCGTGAGTGGTATGCGCAGCGCGGTTTTACCTGCACGTATGTTATTCGCACAGGCGACCGCACTGGCCAGACGTGTGGGAGGCCGCACCAGACGCAGCGCTGCTTCGCGCGCCTCAACGACGCGTGGCGCACCCAGTTTCCTGACGCCACTGAGCTGCCGCGCTGGGCTGATCTGGAAAAGAGGGGTGTTGATATCTGGGCTCTAGACTTTGATGCTATTCTCACTGCCATGTATGCAATGTCTATTAGTGGAGAGGGTGCTCAGTACTTGCGTGTTCCGCCCGACCCGGGCATTCAGGCCAGCCCAGCTGCTGCTCTAGGTGCTAGTGTGTCTGCTCCCACAGGTCCTGCTGCAGCAGCTGCCCTAGGTGCTAGTGCGTCTGTGCCCCCTGGTACTGAGTCGACTGCTGCACTGCACACCTTCACACTGGACTCAGGTGCTTCTCGCTCTTTCTTTCGTGACCGCACTGTCCTTGAGCCACTAGCTCGGCCGGTTGCTGTCTCTCTTGCT